AGTTATCCTAGAAACCTACTTAATATTTCTCTTTAAGCCAGAAAGATCATTTTTAAAGTAATCCAATACATTCTTAAAGTATTTTATTGTTTTCCTTCTTTATTTCTTTTGAAAAATGTAACACATATCTCTGTTTAAATGTTTCCAACATTATAGAAATATGTTAAAATGTTGCTTTAGTTAACTTTTTATTTTATTGTATTTTATTATTATTCTTTGTTTGTTTGTTTGTTTGTGGCCAGCTCAGCCCACCCTGGGGGCAGGGCTAGTGCAGCATACAGAGCTGGGAATTGAACCACGGTCCCTGCACTTGCCTAAGTTTGCCTAAGCAGGTGCTTTAGACCACTGAGCTATCTCACCGGCCCAACATTTTATTTGTTAATGACAACAAGTAGAAGAAATACTTTTTTTTTAATACCTGGGATTGAACTCAGGACCTTATACTTGCCAGGCAGGCGCTTATGCCACTGAGCCATCTCCCCAGCCTGTAGAAGAAATACAACAGAAAATTTACTCCCTGCTTTCCTCAAGACACTTCTGTTAGTGACTCAGAGGGAAATCCCAAAGATCTTTCTTTCCATGTATGTATTTAATTAGGCAATAACTTTTAAAGACTTCTGCACTGTATTTTTGTCAACTATCCTATACCAAGGAGCAGTGAAAATGATTTGATCAACATATGACCTTTACCAGATTTTAAAAATAATCCAGTCTTACACTTTACACATAGAGTAATCAAAGTTCAAAAAAAATATATTTTAAAACTGAGGGGGAAATGAAACCCATCCATGTTTGAAACTAGCTAAAACTAGGACTATCACAGTCTGGAAACCATAATGTCAATAGATTCCTAGTTGTCAAAATTTGAAATAGAATCTACAGGAGCCAAAAAGTTTGAAATAACAACGTGGTCAGATGCATGGCTGGTATGGCCATTCAGCTGATTCAAATAAACACCAAAATAGCAACAGTGTCTGCCTCACATAAACGTGCTTTCCCAGCAGTCTCCTTTCTGCAGCAAGACATTTCTATTACGTTTTCCTAAAAGGGATTCAGGCTTGCATTGAAATGCCAGTCCTGCTGGCATTGTGTGGAGCATCAGACCCTTGCGACTTTCTAATCTCTGGTTTCCACACTTGGGAATGTCTTGCTGTTTCATAACAAAAGTCCCTGACTGGCACAGAGACTGCTCTCAAGGCTTGCAAAGCACTTGTGTGGAGTTTGCACCACAAATTCCCACAGAAACCAGTCTAAGTGGGCTTTTGACATTCCTAAGGCAGTCTAGTTGATCAGATTGCTCTTGAAGTCCCTAATGGTGGGCACTGTGGAAACGTGAGACTTTGGGTAACATTGTCTTTTTAAAAATGTTTTCTTTCAGTATCTAACTTGGAATGCAGTTCTGATCACAGGGCCAGGAACTCTGGTCCTTTGTGGTTTCACAGGCACTTGAGTCTGGAAATGCCATCCCCTCGGGGCTGGTGCAGAGTGAGCTACGGGGAAGGCCACTAGAGCTGGTAAGGAACAGGGTTGCAGTCCCCTGTACACTGTCCTTCTCCAAAGAGCTCCCAGTCCTTTCTCTCTGTGGAATATATCTACAAAGATCCTCAAAATACACACCACTTACGGAAGGCTCAATAATACCTATCTACTGATTTGAGTTTTTTTTGTTTTTTTTTTTGTTTTTTTTTTTAGTTCTCTATACATTGGGGAAATGAGCAGCTTTCATGTAGAACTGGGGACAATAGTTCTTTACTTTTGGGAGTGAGAAGGCAGAGAATGGGAGCCACGACCTCCAGTATAAAAGCAGGCAGAAGCCCAAGAGCTTATAGTTGCTCTCAAGAAGGGATAGCTCTGGAGCACAGGATGCTGCAACCTCCCTAGATTCTTTAAATTAATGCACGTTTGTGGCACATGTTTGTGGCTGCACTCATCGTGGGAAGTTGGTAAGTGGACATAACACATCTGAATTCTTTTTGTATCCCCTTCCCTCCTTCTGACTCTTGGTTCCTTCCCCTTGTGAAAGACCATCACTGTTTCCTATTATCTGTCTTTTAGTTTTACTCATTTATTTCTTCACTAAAGTTCTATTGTCTCTTTTCTGTTCCTTTTAGGGGAAAATAATATAATCCTTAAAAAGTTTTGGTGCTGTTTTCAGGAGTTAATAAAGCAGTGGGAAAGCCTGCACTTCTAGAAATGCAAGCCCTCAGGAACCTGAATCGGGAACAGAGTGCAGAAATCGGTGTCCAACTTGCCTTTCCGAGGAGTCCAGTGATCACGCACAGACTGAGGTCCGCTGGCACAGTGGCTGCAGAAGGGCCTGCTCTGAGATCCTGACTCTACCCCATAATAGCCTGGAAGCTTGAGCAAGTTAGTCTTTCTGAGTTTGCAGAGAAGTTTGAATGAAATAATGTATTTAAAGCACTTAATATGATGTCAGATTTTGTTAGCTTTCCATCACTAACACATCATAACCCCAGAGATAAAGTGTGTGTGTGTGTGTGTGTGTGTGTGTGTGTGTGTGTGTGACTGGGGATTGAACCCAAGGTCTTTGCATTGAGTTCAATCCCCAACTTGCTCTCTCTTTCTCTCCCCCCCCTCCTTCTCTTTCTCTCTCTTGCTTTCTCTTTTGAGATGGACAGAATCTGGCTAAGTGGCCACATTTCTCAGGCTGGACTCAGACATTCTGTCCTCCTGCCCTAGTCTCCCAGAGTGCTGGGATAACTGCCATGTGCCTCCATGCCCAGCTGCTTATAAGAAGAGGTTTATTTTGCCTCAGTTTTGGAGGTTCTGGTCCATGATCACTTGGCCTGTTCTTTGAAGCCTATGGGAAACCAGCACACAATGGAGGGGGCACATGGTAGAGCAAAACCACTCTTGTTATGGTTTGTGTATAGGTTGTCCCCCCCCCCAAAGCCTCACACAGTCATGGGCAGCTTGGCTTCTGGAGTTTGTGATTAATTCATGATCTAAGGCTGGGATTATGGGTCTGAGTGCTGCTGGGATTATGGGTGTCAGAGCTACACCCAGCCTGGGGCCATTAGCCTGAATGCAACATAAGACAGACAGACTTGCTCTCTGCAGCCATTGTTGCTGCTACTCCTCCCATTTTGCTCTTGCTCTTATGCTCTTTTCTGCCACTATGAACTGCTACTCTCTGCCACGTGCCAGTCTGTCTTAGACCCAGTTGAGTATGGACTGAAACCTCCAGTAACTGAGCTAAATAAACCTTTCCTTCCTTCACTTTGGGTGTCAGGTATTTTGTCCCAGCAATGAGAGAAAAGGAGTTGAGACAGACACAAAGAGGGAGACGAAGGGTCCTGGATCCCATAACCCCTTTAGAGGCACACCCCACCCTGAAGTACCTAAAGACTTCCCATGAGCCCATCTTCCCAAATATTTCACCATTTCCCAGTAGCACTACTTTGGGGCCAAGCCTTAACCCATAAGTTTTTAGGGTGTGTTCAACACCAAAATAATAGAAAATACATATAGAAAATGCCCCATAAATGTAAACAGTTACATTCACCGTTATCTCTGAGTGGAAAGAAAAAGTGAAAGCCCGTTTGACCTTTAGCAAATTAGCAGAGAATTTATCAGCCTAAAGGGCCCTTGCAGATTCTGACATCGTGTTTCCGAGGATCTCAAAAGTCAAACACATTCCCAGTGGTCTTGTCCACACAGAAACAGAGCAGTAGTTCTTGCAGCTTATCGACAGAACCCTCACGAAGGTTTTAAACTCTCTTTCCCTGGACCTTCAGAGCTATACTCTCCAGTGATAGCATCTGGGCATCTCCAAATAATTTTTAAAATTTCCATAAGCAATCCAGTCAAACAACTATTCTAGTTAAAGTGGCAGTAATTAAAGTAAATATTTATTGCTTATTTTTGCCAACTACCATGCTAACTTTTTATATGCATTGTTCCATTTAATTTTGCGGCAACCCTATGAAGTTTGTACTGTTTATTTAACAAATGAGGAAAACAGAGCTATAGGCTGCCCTAAATTCATAAAGCTAAAAAATGATTTAGGTCCTGAACCTAGGTTTGAGCTACTATATGAATTTAGCGGATGCAAAACTTATTGCATTCATTTTCTCGTTCATCTGACAAGCATTAGTGTGCAGGACCAGCTCCTGTGCTGACAGCTGGGGAATATAAAAATATAGAACCCCATTTCTATCTTCAGGAAGCCATGTCTTAAGAGTGATCAGGAAACAAAAAAGGCAGACAGACCTACTGCTTTGTTTCAAACGATGGTATCCTGTGTTTCTGAGAAGTCGGGAGGACTTTCTACCAACTTCTGGCCTCCTCCTCTCAATTGTCACTAACTAAAGTTGTCACCAGCCTCTCAGACTGTGAAAGCCAGGCAGCCCTGCCTGCTCCCAGCAGCTGGTGGGCGACCGCAGAGCCTCTGATCCCAAGGTCTTAGAGTGGGTTTCTGAGTGCTCTCTCACCCCGCCAATCACCCCGGGGAGGGAGGGCACCCCCGTAGGGCTGATAGGGGGCGCTTTTCCAGGATAAAGCCTCTAACCCCAAGCAGCATGGTGTCGAATTTCCTCAGAAAGGTACCGAGACTGAGGCCTGGCGTTTTGGAACCGAGGGATGTTCACGGGGCAAATCTTTGCACGCAGTGTAATGCTGAAGGGAACCTGGGCGCTGCTGGGGTCTCGATGCAGGCTCTCGATGCAGGCTCGCGCTGGGCTCCTAGCCCCATCCGCGACGTCCTACTGCCTCCTAGAGTCAGGAATGGGTATTCTTCCAAGTAGACAAAATTGTTAACGTCGTGCAATCGCCGTCTTGGGAAGGCAGTAAACCCTCTCTGGGAGACCGCTTTGGAAGCTACTGCCCCCGGCGCCGAGCTAGGGACACTGCTGGGAGCCGCCGCCCCCTCCCGGCCAGCGGCGGCGCAGCGACTGGACCGCGGACCGGTCTTCAGGTTGCACAAGGAGGAGGTGGGGCAGCCGCGGAACTTTTCTCCTCCGCCTCCCGCCCGCTTCCACCCGGACCCTGTTGGTGTCGGACGCCCTAGGGGAGACTGAAACATGGAGACGGCAGGTTCCGGGTCTGTGGAGGCCTCCTCTCCACTGGAGGCTCGGGGCTCCACGGAAGACCGGCTTTTCTTGGTTAAAGGTGTGGTATGGTGAAGTGCAGTCACGATCTTTGTTTTCCTCTCTGGGAGAATCTGTAAGCCGCTGTCCCCGGGGAGAGGGGCGGGAACCTGTTGCAGTTCTCTCCAAGAGCGAGCCCTGCCTCAGCAGGACCCCAGGAGCCAGGGGCGGTGAGGTCGCGCCGGTTTCCCAGTCGCTGTCATTGGCCTTTGGCAAACATCGTTGAGCCATGATTTGTCGACTTTCAAAAGTAATGTTGAATGTGATGTAAACGTTGTAAGGGTTCCGTACATCTTTGTAACTTGACCCTTCTCCCTCAAACCTGGCAGGTGGAATCTTCCTGGGTTCTGTTGCTGCAGCAGGGATGCTAGCTGGATTTGTTACAACATTGTCACTGGCTAAAAAGAAAAGCCCTGAATGGTTCAATAAGGTTTGTAACACTGAAATCCATTTCATAGGATTGTTGTTGCTTACAATAAAGGCAACTTTTTGCATAAGAAAGGCGAAGAATATTGATGGCTTTTCATATTGCATTGAGAAAACAGTATGTATACCTCATGGACTCAAAAAGTGCACAAATGAAATGATGATTTTTTTTGTCTTTTAAAAAGAAATATGTGCTTTCTTAAATTTTACTAGAATGTTTCAAGAATTCCAAAGCTTATCTTGTGCATTCATGCTCACAGCGTGACTTTAAATGTAGGTAATTCACTCTTAGTAGTTAGAGGCCCCTATTTTTATGTATCACCTGGTGAGAATAAATAATGCCAATTAAATTATTGATACTGACTGCAAGAGGCATTAATGGCAGAGAGGTTTAACTGCTGAAATAAAATTCATCTTAGTACTGATGAAAACCATGTCAGCTCCTTGAATACAAGGATCAGACACCACTGTAGTCCCAGTCCCTAGAAGAACACCTGACATAGAGTAGGTATTCAGTAAACTGATGAGTTGACTGTAACCTAGTTAGCAGAAAATTCTTACTCAATGAGCAAGATTAAACAATTGTCCTCATGTACTTCACTTAACTGGTTAGTAAGAAATTTCCTTCATGTTTACTTGTAGTTACTTATGTTTTGTCCTGTCTCTGCCTTCTCATCTCATTTAGCTTATTTATGCATTACTTCATTTTGTCTCAACCAATATTTACTTGAGATCTCTTATATGTCTGGCACTGTAGTAGTTAGACACAAGAGATACAAACATGAACAATACCTCTGAGTCTTAGGAACCAAAGTGTTTAGAGTGGTGGACACATACTAAATATTCCAAGAACTATATACTTACAGATTGATGTGTACTATGGAAGGGAAGTGTTATGTGAAAAATCAAATCTGTTGAATTTCCTATTTACCTTTAATAATCTTACTTAAGCCTTATAAATTCTGTGATGACCGATAATCTACATTTAAAATGCATTTGGGGGGCCAAGGAGATGGCTCAGTAGGATAAGCGCTTGACTGGCAAACGCAAGGATCTGAGTTCAATCCCCGGTTCCACAAAAAAAATAAATAAATAAAAAATAAAAATAAAATAAAATAATAAAATGCGTTTGGATTCCCTCTGAATACTTGAGGAGTTACCCAGAGCTACCCAAATCATCACTACTGTGTACCTTGTGGATCGTTTTATCACTATAGTGTAAGGATCTCAATATTTTATACAACAATTTTGAAAGAATATACTGCAGCCATATGACTACCTTTTTTTTTTTTTTTTGCAGTACCAGGAATTGAACTGAGAATCTTGTGCTTGCCAGGCAGGCGCTCATGCCATTGAGCTATCTCCACAGCCTCTAAACATCTTTTATTACATTAGACATGTAAAAGATTAGCAAATATATAAAACTCTCTGCACATTTTTTGAAAAGTTATTTTTTCATAAAAACTTTATAATTGACTTTTAAAATGTGAGTTTCATAGTTTTATTTTCTAAGTAAATATTGGTAAAAATATAATCTCCACATAATTGAAAATTTTTAGAGTCCAAGCCTAAAGGAATCTTTTTGTGTGTGTGTGTATTTTAGGGAAGAGTCCACAGGGTGTTCAGGGTCTCACAACTAGATTGGACTCGTAGTGATCTGCCTGTTTACAGCCTCCCAAGAGCTGAGATTACAGGCTTGCTCCACCACGCCCAGTCTCTGTTGCCATCTCAGCATGCCCCGGGAGCAGGGCTGGCACAACAGGCCCAGGGGATCAAACCCCCAGCCCGTGTGCCTGCTTCCAGGTGCTTTAATCCGCTGAGCTATTTGGCTGGCCCTTAAAAGAATCTTGAGACCAGAAAATTTTAGAACCTTACTCTCCTGGATAGTTAAATATGTTATGTAAATTTCTATTTCCCTCTGGGAAATATGGAATTAGAACATCTTATCCAGACTTTGAAGAGTAAATTGATTTGTAGAACTGAGGTTCTGGAACACACAGTTAAAGAGTTATACTGGCCAAACACCAGTTTAAGAATATCACTTAGGCAGTATACTTCAAAGTCAGCATTCACAGTAGTAACATGATACCTAACATCTGAACGCTTAGCTTACTATGTGCTAAGTACTCTTCTAGGGGTTCTACTCACTTAACCCCCACAAAACCATGTGAGACAGTGATAGTGTAGGTCATTCATAGCTAACAGCAGAAAACTGGGCCTCACGTGGATTAATATACTTGCCTAAAATAAAACTCTCTCCATCTTTGTGGGGTTTTTTTGCATAACAAATGATATCACTTTTACCAATAAGTTATTTAAGTAAACTACTAGCTTCTTAAGTATTCATTACAATACAGATGCAAACTAAAGCACCAAAAACTTTAAAATGACCCATTTTTGGTGGAAAGCTGCCTACATTGCTTGTGTTCTGGAAGATGATAGTTTCTTCAGCGTCTTTGTTTTCATTATCTTACTTAAGTCCTATGCTCGAAAGCTGGGATTTGAAAAGCAATGGTAAGAACTCAGTGAACATATGTTTTTCTTTGTAATTCTTTGAATAAGCAGTAAGAGGACGGTGCAAGTTGAGGTGACCAGAGAGTTCATGCTTGAGCTTCTTTGATCTATTAAAATAGACCAGTACTTTTTGTGAGATACTTCTCACACATCAGTTGCAAAAAATGATTGTGAGACTAAATGAGGTGCTGTAAGTGAATTACATGTATATGTGTCTATTCTGTTAGAACAATTGAAAATACAGAATTAATGTATGATAAATTAATGCTAAATTATACTAATAGAAAGTTTACTTTTCTGATGCACTTTAATTCAGGGCCTTAGCTTAGTACTGTAACACAGCAAAACTTCATTAAATAACTGAGTTATTTCATGACTCATTTATGTAAATGGATAAAAAAGAGCAAGTTGTCTTTCATCCTACTGATAGAGCTATAATATTAAGTAGATTGAGCATTCTGTTTAAAAACCCATTTGACTTAAATAATATTAATTTTTAATAGAGAGTATGAATGACATTTTTCCCACCCAGAGGAAAAGCTTGTGATTCAACTTTTTAAAACTTAAGGATCAACTTTTAACACCAACTTTCCAGTAAAATTTATTTTTTAAAGCATGTAGTGGACAACAGCTTGTTACAACTAATTACATGTACACATTTTTAAAAAGAATCTTAAGTTAGGCAAAATTAATAATTGATTGTACACGTTGTCATTTAGAGTTATATTTATATATAGTCACCTTTTTAAAACTAGGTTTAGTTAAACAAACATGGGTTTATGTGGACAGTGAAAATATACACCTAAGTGAATTCTGCCTTCTTTAGGGAAATAATAGATTTTTAGTGTGTGTTTTTAAAATAAAATGTAGGTCAAAGAATTTCACTGACCCTGGTAGAATATTTGCTTACTGCCACTGCTTCTGGATGAAAATTCAGGGCAATTAAAAGTCATTTGATTTATGTGAAATGTGTGGTGTCTGGGAAATTATGCTGAAATTAAACATAGGAAAAGAATAAGAAGGTATATTATTTTATGCCATAGAAAATAACTGAAGAAAGATCTCTTGGTCTTGATGTGGTTAGCTCTAAGGTATATTTATAAAAGCTGTCACTCAGCAAATCGAGTGCCCCCCAGGTCTAGTCATGGCACTGGGCACAGGGATGTAGATCAACAGCAGAGGCTTTTTTAACACTAGGAGCAGTCTGTGCTGTTATAAAGCAGACATACAGAAGAAAAACTTACTCTGGGCCTATGGCACATGACTTAATTCTAGCTCCTCGGGAGGATGGGGCAGGAAGACCAAGTTTAAGCATAGCCCAGGCAATTTAGAAAGACCCTGTTTCAAAATTAAAAGCAATAAAGAGGAGTAGGGTATTATTGCTCAGTGGTAGGGCATCCCTGAGTTTGATCCTTAAAAGATTCCCTGCCAGGGGGCCTGCCCCTTAGCTCAGTTCTTTAAGTGGCTGCTTCAACAAAGCAGTCAGGCTCAGGTTGCTGTGGTTCGATCCCCACAACTCAAGCC